TCATCAGCTTATCGATTCCAGAATATTTAATATAGGTCAAATATGTTGCCGAACCGTGTGTATTGAGGATAATAGCGATTCTTTCCTTTCCTCGCGAAAAACGAGTTAAGATTCCCTTCCCGCAGTGCCGTTGGAAGCGTAATCGATACGCATCTGGGTGTCGGCGAACAGCAGGGCAAAGGAAACGCCGGAATACCTTGGAGTAGGCCTCGCGGGGCTTCATACGGTCGGAGATTATCGAACTGAGTTCCGCCTCGCGTTTCGTTCTACGTTGTAATTGCCATCCTAAGAATTCTCTTTTGAAGGCGCATGAATTTGTTCCGAGACATCGTGATAACCATAACCATGGACCTATATACAGGGATGGCCAGAAGTACGGAATAAAATTCATATCTTTTGAATGAGTTAATTTTTTTTAAAACGCCGAAACACGTTAACTGATTTTGATTTTTTCCCATCTTTCGGTTATATAGTAATTAATTTTTCTTCAACCCCCTAACTCCCAGTTACCTCTACTTTTTTTTTCAAGTGGAAACATAAGGCATGAGGGGGCTCGTTGAAAAGCTTATAGAAAACCGAATCCAGCCAATCCAAAGTGCTGCTCTTGTTCTAGCGGCCAACGCTTCAAGGTGTGTTGTTTAATAATTTACGCTGGACCTATATTTTAACAGGCCTCGCGCCCGATTGTTCAGGAACGGCTCCAATTTGTGTACATACAGTCTTATAAGGAAAGAGAGTAAAGATTTTATTAATCATTAATAGATTATCGAGGACAATAATAATTTTTTTATTAAGTAGGCAATAATTTTTAGTTAATAAGCTTAAACAATCTTAGAATTACCATTCCTTTATTATAAAAGCAGATATAATTTTGAAAATTCCATGTAGTTTCTTCTTCAAAAGCTTAAAAAACGTATAACTGGAATAGTCAACAGTCTAATGTTTATATTTTCGCGTTAACAATACGATACGTAAATTACCCGCTATTTTCAGTAAAAAAGATATAACTTGAATTATTTTTTTACTTTGGCGAGTCGTATTAATTTAAAAAACACTGCCTAATTACTAAAATATATAGAAACTCGCTACTAATTACGTTTGGAGAATAATATGTATAGTAGGGTGGTCCAAAAAGAAAAAACTATTTTTTTTTCGTGTCTCTTGTGAAAATATGTTAGTTTATCATGTTTTAAGAGCCCCCTCAAAAAATCAGCTCAAAAAATTTTTTTTAAAGGTCGCTCAAGATTTTTAAAAATTTCTAAAATCGTCAAAAATTGAATTTTTTTTTGTTTATTTTTTTCCCGTTATTTTATCATTTTCTAGGTTGAAAAAAATCTCGATTCTCAAAATTTCAAATCGATATTTTAATTTCTAAAGGTCACTCATAATTATTTTAATTTTCAGAGTTGAGCGACCTCTAAAAAATAAAAAATTTAAAAAAAAATAAAAAATTATAAATATTTGATACTCGCAATGCGGTAGTAAATTTTGCCTCGAGACATTTATTAAGTGTCTCATGATTAATTTCTATTATTTTGTTGATCAAATTCAATGAAAAAAAATTGTTAGTTCGTTGATATTTATTTTTTAGAGGTCGCTTGAAAATGTAGGTACCTACCTACACTACTTTGAAAATTAAAATAATTATGAGTGACCTTTAGGAATTAAAATATCGATTTAAAATTTTCAGAATCGAGATTATTTTTCAACCTAGAAGATGATAAAATAACGGGAAAAAAATTAAACAAAAATAATTCTAATTTTACTGATAATAAGTCGCACTATCGTCTTTAGTACTGTGAAGGTCATTTGTTTCGAAAGCTCATTTTTTATTTTTAAGCAAAACAGAAGGGGATGCTATCTCCGTAAACAACAATCTGAAAAAATTTGTTAAAATAATATATAAAGGCTATACTGTATACTCTGCATCGGACCGTGAACGCAATTGACCATTCCGATACTGTTTTTAAGAATATCATATTTATAACTGTATTATTTTAACATATTTTCTCAAATTATTGTTTACAGTTATTTGCTACCTATGTCAGTTTTTTCTTTTTTTAAAGAACGCCATATTTACGGAGATAGCACTACCTTCTGTTTTACTTAAAAATAAAAAAAGAATACCTTTTGAGACAAATGACCTTTACAGTATTAAATACAATAGTTCGACTTATCGTCAGTAAAAATTGGAATTTTTTATCAGTTAACAAAAAAATTATGACGAGTTAAAGTGAGAGTTATCAATAATTTTATATGCAGAAAACCGTGATTTTTTCAACATTTTCATTAATAACTAAAAAATGGGATAACAAAACCAACTGAAATTTTAGCACACAATAAAGTAATAGTGAGGCAATATCGAAATTTCTAATTTTTTGCCCCTACGTTTTCTTAATATCAGTTTCCAAACTCAGAGGTCTATTTCATTTATTTCGATAGTAAGTAACTAAAAATAAGCAAAAGTTGATTGTCAAGACAATATGAAATTAAAATCGTGTTAGTTATATTCATATTCTAGAATCTATTACTTTTTTGGTCGTAACTTTTTTCATTAAATATCCAGTGGTTTCCTTCTTACCGGTANAAGACAATATGAAATTAAAATCGTGTTAGTTATATTAATATTCTAGAATGTATAATTTTTTTGGTCGTAACTTTTTTCATTAAATATCCAGTGGTTTCTTTCTTACCGGTAAGTAACTTGAAGATTTGTAGATTGAAGAAGAAATCTATCTGAATCTGAGCCAGGCTAATTTTTAAGCTGTAAATTTATTTAAACATAAATAACGATTTTATGTGGGACACCCTGTACGTAAAATTTAATCTTTATTCTTAATAAAGAAAAATTAGTACATATTATTGGTTTTTTATGCGTTATATTTACGTACTACTACTTAAGCTTTACAAAATCTTATTACTTAGGTACTTTTAAAAAATTATCCATATTTATATATGGATAATATTAGACCATTATGCTTTATTTTACCACGCATTTTAAACTAAACCAACTCTGTGTTTTCACTTTCATTTTCAAGGGTAGCGACACCTGTGACAGAGTATACAAATTAATTATAGTTAGAATATGTTAGAATCGCTACAATTCTGGTTTAGATGCAGAATAAAAATGGAGTCGTGTGTAAAATGTTATCATTTTATTTGAGGACTCAAATTATAGAATTATTAATAAATATTAATCTGAAAATTAGATACAAATGATCCTACGTGTCCGTTCTAGTGAGTGAAGTAGTTTGGTTATTGTGCCTGACCTAGTTCCGTCGTAAATGCAATATATTGACAGACTAACAGTATGATTAAAATTGAGAAAATTTAGCATTTATGTAAATTATTCTTCTGTTCTCATGAGCATTGAAATTTATCTCACTCACTAGCGGGAACCATGGCGAATACATTGATATATAATAATATTCAATTATGTTAGTTTCTTCGATGATTTGTGTCCTCATCTGAAGCTCTGTTACACGGTAAAAATATACATACTAAATCGCCCCCTTAAATAAAAAATTGCTGTTATCAATTTCTCCGATTTCAGTTTGAAGTTTCCAAAAACTCCTTTATGTTCAAAATTCTATTGAAATATAAGGAAAGTATACTCAACATTATTTTTTATAGTCAAAGTCTATTCTTCTGATTTTGTCCGAAATAAACTTTTTAATTACTATTTCATTAAAATTTGATATTTCTCGCACCACTGATTTTTCAATAGATAGCATTGCAAATGATATAATCAATTTAAATTTTACAATTTTTTAAGAAACAGCCCCACAGTCCCCCACTGTCAGTGTATTGAATTATGAAATGTATTATATGTCTGAAACTGTTAAATTTGCTACTGCTTTTTGAACCAGCTTCTATTTTTTTATGAAATACTACTCATAGGGGTTAACTTTTAATTCACCAAAAAGCAGTTATCTAAATAATTAAATTATGGCTCTGCGATTCAAATACTGGGTCAAAGATTAAAGCTTTTTCCTCGACATGACTGTTTCGGCTTAAAACATCCGCGTCACGAAAGTTGCCTGAAATTTAATGCCTCTGCTCCGCCCAGCGGGATAAAATCCAGATTTTCCCACCGAGGCAGAACTCGGGCCGAGATTCACCAGCTGACAAGCTGGTTTTGTAGCTTTCTTTGTCCTCTAGGCCTGCATGTATTGTTTGTTATCGAGGCGTGGAATTCTGGCGGTTTTGTCCTCGACCGCGTTCCGACCGAGTTTCTTTAGAAAACTCACTGGAACGGCCGCAGGAAAAAAATATCAGGGGCCCGTATCGTGCTGCGAAAACACATTTTCACGTATGAGTTAGTTTTGTACCATTCGCTTGGCGAAATTTGTTGTTTTGTTATTCATGTACATCTAGAGAGCACTGTTTGTTTACACAAATGTGGTGTACGACGGGAAGTGAATTTTATTTGATGTTTAAAAGCAGCTGGTGATAATGGTTTCTTAATTTTTTGCTTGTTTACATCTCATTGTGATCGAGAAAATAACGTAAAACGTATTTGAACCAAAAGTTAAAACACAGTATAATATAAATTAGTAAGGACTTTATTACTAACGAAATCACCAACAGAAAACACAATAATTGAGAGCATGCAAATCAAGTAATTCCAGTTTCTACTTTCGTATTCGAATTTGGTCATTATGATGTAGAAGTGGATTGAAGTTTATTTTTAAATGTGCCCAATGCTGTGAAATACTGATCAAATTGCCAAAGTCCTAGTTGTTTCCTTCAGAAATTCAAATTTCAGCTTCTAAGAGTTATAGTTAAACAATTTCCGGTTTGGTTGCCACATTGTGAAACTGTTTCAAACTTTTTTCCGAAGAAGAGAACTATATGTCTCTCGAAACACCACGAAGTCTAACCCTGAGACCTGGCAACTTGTCCGGAAATTGTTCAATCGTTGATAATTACTACGAAAGCTTGCTAACTAAGCTACTAGGGGTTACGGCTAGCTATAATAGGGTTAAGAGAGTACTTACCCGACGGTAACATCGAAGATGTTACTGCCGACAGAGGACGAGACCGCCATGTCGCCGAAGCCCTTCCTGGCCACGATCACGGAGGTGATCAGGTCGGGGATGGAGGTGCCGGCGGCAAGGAAGGTGAGACCCATCACCTCGGGCGGGATGTCCACCGTTTGGCCCACCATGTCGGCCCACCACACCATCAGGTAGGAGTACGCCGCTATCCATACGATACTCCCCAGGAACGTAACTGGGAAGAACTTCTTACCTGGAACAGAAATAGATACAATCAGTGACCCTTCCCTTTGATTCGTCCTCGACTACTGAAGATTCAAGTTTTATCTCTGTTTGTAATTGGTGGAGAAAGAAGATAATGAAGCTAGAAATGATTTTTATATGATAGAATATTTTAAAAAGAAACTACAAATTTAATATTTTGAGACTAAAGACCAAGACTAAAGAGAGTTTGGATTTATGTTCATCACATTGGTGATTTTTTTTGACTATCCACAAGAACTTCCTACATGATAATGTCATAGAGCCATAGCAAATGCAGTGTTCTTTATTTTAATCGTTTAATTAATAATGTCGTTGTTGCTTGAGTTTAACTCACAGAACGATCTTTAAAGTACTGTTGTATCTAACAACATATCTAGATCAAACCTGTAGATAGGATATCAAATGTATTTTTCCGACCTGATATAGCAATTTCCGTGAAGCTTTACAATATCTACATTGCACCATTTATGGTTTTGTTGTCCACTTTTTGTGGAATAGGTTTTTCCTTTGTTATTCATCTTCTATGCAATGTTACGCATACTGATGTTCACCATTTGACATTCAGACAGAGAATGACCTACGGCGCACTATGGGTCAAACGGCATTTTTTTATGTCAATACCAAATATCTCGAAGAAGAATTAATGAATTGTTTTATATAGTTTTTCATCCCCTATTTTGGGTGTGGAAATGAAGGGTGGGTGAATAGGTGAAAAAAGTGAAAATCGATTTTCTTCGTTAAAAAATCTTATATCTTCGATAAATACAGTGAAATTAAGACACATTTTGGTGGAATCAATGCTTAATTGAAACAAGCTATGGAAAAATTAACGAACATATTTTCATCCCTATTTTAGGAGTGGAAGTGAGGGGTGAGGGTGTGGAAAAATGAAAATTAAAGAAAATATGCATAAAAGGTTTTTGTTGTCGCTGAACACGAATAAAAGCATCACTAAAACAAAAAACTCCTTTTCAGGAGCTGTTTTTATCATCCTCTGATTTAGGGGAAGAACTGAGGGGTGGGGGATTGAATAATAAAATTGATCTGAAATATTACCAGTCTTTCAATTCTCTGATCTTAAATAACATGGTAGACCATTTTCTTATCATCTGTAAATTTCAGGGTGATTTTTCATTACCCCTTACTTAAGGCAAATGGCAATTTGGGGTTAGGGGTGGAATGTAAAAAGTCAAAGAAGGTACTTGTTGAGGGTTTTTGTGGTCCCTAGATTCGTAAAAGTTTATTTTTTTATCGTCAAACTTTACGTGTAGTTGAAGAGATTTTTTTGTTGATTTTTGATACTTCATATCCTCACTTCTTATTTCTACCCCTGAATAACAATAAAAAAAAAATATTTTTTTACATCAATTGGTTAGCTTACTGTAAGAAAATGCGTATGCTTACAGTAAGCAAACATTCATTTCTGTGTTAAAACGCAGTTTCTCTTATAACAAGGCATAAAATTACAGCTCTGAACAAAATATATTCTACACGTATTGTTTTTATAATTTGTATATTTGTATACTGATTCAAATATTTAAAAAATCCCGCGCGATTTACTTATTCGGAGAAGAAGAAGAAGAGGAGATCTGGAGTAAAGTGTTCAGTGTTCTTAGTTCTTACTTCTCAATCTTAGGCTTATGGTGAGTTAGGAAAAGAGAGGTTATGTATTATGTTATGTTATGTACGAAAAGAAGCGTTGTTAAGATTTATGTCTTTATGGAAAAATAAAGTTTTAGAGAAAAATATAGTATGCCTTCCTGAAACAGCCACCCAGATAGAGCTTCCTACAATAATTAATTTAATATTAATTTTTCCTTAATTTGTTTCAATTGAGCATTGATTCCACCAAAATGTGTCTTAATTTCACTGTATTTATCGAAGATATAAGATTTTTGAAAGAAGAAAGTCGATTTTCACTTTTTTCACCCTTCATTTCCACCCCCAAAATAGGGGATGATGACATTCGCAATAATTTTCCCTAAATCTGCATCAAATAAGCTTTAATTAAAAAAAATGTATAAAACGATTCGTTAATTCTTCTTCGAGGTATTTGATTTTGACATAAAAAATGCCCATAGTGCGGCGATAGGATGGTAACGTTGCCACTGCGCATCAGCAGCTCGTGAACAAGATGAATTTGGCCAAGCTGTACGTTGACATAGTTTTCAGCAGATTAATGAACTCATTTGAGTATCTTGTAGAGACTATTTCATTACTTAATCGTATTTGCCTCATGGAAAATTAATATTTTCATTATTTCATACTTCTGATAGTGTTCCAAATCCACATACAAGATGAAAATAAACATGAATAAACGTGAGATATTCGACGAATGGTGTAATTATTTTTGGTGTGTTAACTACAGACATGGACCTAGTACAGGTGATATGTAACTGCTACATCTATGTAATGGTGGCTGCCACTTGAAACTTAGAATAATGTCCTTTCTCATAAGTCTTAGAGTACACAATTTGCTGCTTATTTTTTCTAAATAGATTCACTGAAAAACTCCTCTCTGTCTAATGTAAGCTCGACCAAACAGAAATAAGTAGAACGAACACACTCTAATACAAACATTTTATCGTTATTTAGAGTAGCGTTACATGAAGGCAAGTTATCTCGTGCTGATCGTCGCGTGAGACTAACAATTTTAATGGATTAGAAGGACGATCTATTAACTTTTGAACTTTCGGGGGGTTAAATGGCGCCCGACCACGTAACCATCGATTTCTAAGCTGCTTTTTACTAGTCCGCAGGTTAATACGCAATCAAACACAGTATTTACTGTAGGAGATTGGATTTTAATCGAATGAACTATGTACCAAGCGCTGTGTGCAGCGTAATATTATTATCTACTTTTTATTTGCATCACTTCGCCTGCCGCGCAGTGTATAAAATGATTACATGTTCATCATGTGTCTGAAAAAGTTGCAGAGGCGTAAAAAATGAGGAAATGGGATGCAGGAGGATATCATTTAGAACGTGGTGCACGCAATAGTTTATTTTCTTTCTAGATCATCTAGTTTAAAAATCTGCTGATTCCTTTACTTTCTACAGGAGGTTCTCAAAGATAAGGTAGACAAGGAACGATCTAATAATTTAAATAGAAAGAAAAAGAGGAATTCAAAAAACAAACCTTTGGTTTATTCAAACTTTGATGTTTCCCATTTTTTCCCATACAGAAAGGCAAGAAAGATAAAGGCTGTAGAATGTTATACTCGTAGGTACACATAAATACAATGTAATGAAATTTGCTGGAAATAACTGACCTTATTAGTTCCAAGTCAAAGCCCAACAACTTCTAAATTATTAGCGTTCTTCGCGAAAAATTAGTGTGTCACGAAGGGTTACAAGGTTTGCGTGTCTAAGCGGTGGTTGGTGCTAAAAGAAAGTAGTTATCGTTATTCGTGGATGTTTCGACAATAGCTAACGTTTATTTGGAATGGACACTAAGATTTATTAAAAAAGGAACAAACCAATATTTACTTTTTAATATCATCATTTAGGTTCTTTTTATTAAAGAAATAACTGCCTATAAAATATCCACGTTCCGATTTTCTTTTGAATAAGTATTATAAGTCCATTTAGAAGGACCACAATGACCAAAACACCAAAAATAACTCCATTGCTAAGTCTTCATCTAAGGTCATTTCTTTTACTGAACCGGAACCGGAAATACGCACGGCGATGTGTTATTCAAATAACTCGACGTCCCTGCATGTTATTATGTTAATCGGTTTTCAGAGACATCCAAACCCCTCACCTCCCATGCCTTGATATTCGTTTATTTAGAGAAATTTCCGTATTATATACCTCCAGGCATAAGGGACATAAGCATAAGAATTTGCAATTGGGCTGGTTTGTTTTAAGTTCTATGTGAGATAGAGATGTTTTATACATGAACTTTTGAGACAAATATTTTAAATAATTGACACTTTTGATATTACAAGCGCAGAAATTTTTGAGGCCATGTCAGCATGAGATCAGAAGGGGGATATAGGTTTCCTAGTAACATATTCCATAAATAAGTACCTAGTACATACAGGGTGTTAGAAGTTTGATTGCCGTAATTTTAACAGACGATATAATACATTAAACTAAACAAAAAAGCCTTATGGCATGGGTCCTAAACTCAGCCATTTCCGAGAAAAAAATTATCAAAATCTCCAACTTGATGTACAAAGTTCGATTCATTAAAGAATACTGACATAACTGCGTGCGTAGAATACCATAAAATACAGTTTATCACTTTTTTGAACTTCTTTATGCTTACTTCTAAAAATTAACGAAATAAATTTAAAATTCGATAAAATTCATATAGAGCAATGTGACAACGGCGCGGGGGATACCACGAGGTACTAAGCTGTCCAGCATTACGCCATGCAGTTGATATCTGGAATTGGACCGTGTCTGAGTGTTCTTTGCGTACCACTATTACCTTTTCTTGAGGTGTTTTCCAGCGTGCGCGAAAATTGGATTCGAAGGTGTCGTACGTGTATCGAAAATGCTGATGGACAATTTGAGCATATGTTGTAGTTTGTTTTGTACCTGTGTTTAAAAATTACTGAATTTTGCTTTTTGGTAAGTACCTACATTATTTTTAATACGTTTGATTATTTGGATGACGTGAATCTTTGGGTACTTTAATTACATATTTTTTAAATCCATACTTTGATTAAAAGTCAAGTTCCTGTTTTAAGAGATTACTAAAATTAGAGTTACAATTTAAGCACAACACTATCTTCGCACTACAAAATCTACATATTTTGTTTTATTTATTTAAAAACTGGAAAACAATTGTCTTGAAATTTACTAAATGTTTCACAATAACAGTTGTTTACATTTTTTCCGTAGGACAAGTCTACCGCGTGCACACGTGGTATGCACCCCAATATTAATACTCCCTGTATTTTGAAAACTGTTAACCTTACGCCCCTGCAATATACAACTTTTTTTGTTCGTTTATGATTACTCTATCTCATGCTGAAGTAAAGGCAGTCAAACTTCTTACACAATGTATATCTACTGCGATCTTTGTAGTATAATAAAAAGATTGAATGAAACAAAGAGTAAAGCCATAGTAAACAACGATTTCTTTACTTTGGTAGTAATAAGAAATGTACTATTGCTTCACATTTGTGCCGTCATCATCTAACGACGTCACTGTCAGTAGTAGTGTCAGTTTGTACTCCAATTTAATAATTTTGCGTACACTATTACGTACAACACGGTACGTTTCCATAAATAATGGTGCGCCTCAAGGCTCTAGGTTACTCTCGCTCCCACACTCGGCCGCGAAAAGTGACGATTTGCCATATCAAAGGCTTCCTCGCGAGCCGCGAAGTGGCGAGCCGACGGGCCCGACGGGCCCCTCGCTCCTTCCTTTATCCCAACGGCAACGTCGTATTCTCAAGGCGATCTGTTCGCGCCTTCTATGTGAAATTTCCACATTAAAGAGAGTCCTCCCCGAAAATTGACTTTTTTTTATGGGAGAGAGATACCCGAAGTATTATATCCGATATTTAGACAGAGATGGAGACAAACGTCAGTGAAGACGTCAAAATAAATTTTGCCATTTGCCGCGTTTTCCCGACCGATCGGGACACGTTATTTTGCCGTTAGGCACCGATTCCGATCCTTTAGAAACGCGACATTGGTGGTAAAACTTGATTTGAACATTTTCAATTTTGTGTTTACATTCGCGAAGACCCAAGGATTCAAGCAGCCTGTGCAGGCTTTACCCAGCGTTAGATCGCCGTAGCTTATTTTGTAAACTCGCGACTACGAAGTCGAAGGTACGGGGTTCGAATCGCGGGCGGGTCGCATTTTTTTTCAAAAATGTTACATATTTTTTACTAACCCACAGAGAATGCACGCAGCGCGGCTCGAGGGCCGAAGGCCCGAGAGGTAAGTCAAGTCCGCGCAGCGGACTTGCCTACCTTTCTAGATATTCTTTATTTACGTTGACGACTCCAGTTATCTGTTGTCTAGTTTCCATTTAATTAAAACTTTTCCTGGAATTTTTAAACGAATAAGTGGATCAATGCTTTGTCACAAAGTTTTGTGTAATAATGGAAGCAGGTCATCACCAATATTTATATTTTATGGTTTTCTGTTTATAACTAATTCTTCATTCAGATTATTTTCGATCATTTTAATGTACCTTTATTGTAAAACAAACACTTCAATAGAGCAAAATCCTGTGTCCGTTTTAACCTATTTTATTGTTTTGTTCAAAAGCTAACACTTTTGTGAAAAAATAAGAGGATAAATTTGTTTCAAATTAAGACAATTTTTTAATCTTATTATCTCTACCCCTTCTAACCAAATCTTCATCAAGGAACTAAATTTTTCATAATTTTTTGCACTTATTTATTACATTTGTTGTAAATTTGAGGTTATATGGAAGAGGTCTAGGAATAATGGACGTACTAACCTCTAGGCGATCTCGTGTCCGGCAGAGTGAGCCACAGTGGGAAGACAATGGGTGCTAGGAGGACGTAGGTGATCCTCTTGCGGGTACCAGAAGGCCAGCTCATGTCCATGGCTTCGGGGGGCTCCTCGTCGGCGTCTCCCACCTGCAGACACACCACTGCTTGTGAGGTCAGTGATTTACGCGCACGCACCGACGACATGCGCCGCTAGAACCAGAAAAAACATATATCCCACTCGGTCGGAGGCGGCGCTGGGAGCGGCGGGGGCTTGCGGACAGGGGGGCGACAGACACAGGACACCAGGACATTGAGTAGCAATGGCAGATGTGTGGTGATAGTGGGATAGGGTGTACGATTCTGCTCGTAGAGATATATCCAGAATGTAGATAGGCTTTCAACATTTTGTGTTATTCATAAAACTTGAGTCTTTCTTTTTTTTGTTTCTTATGCCACGTAAGTTTTGTGTAATAAGTAAAGTTTGACACTTTAGTGCATATAAAGGCATTGGCGTAACTGGAGGTTTGCATAGTGGATCGAGGATCGTTCAAGCTAAAAATCAATTTTTTACTGAAATTGTCTATCAATTTAATCTTCTTTATGTGAAGGTTATGATTATTTTATGCTACGTTGGAAATTTTTGGAAAATTCTGACAATGAAAGTAGTGTTTCAAAAAAAAGTGTTAAAATCATATTCCAGCTTTGTGAACTGTGTTATGACAAAGTATTGTATGCTGTTATTTGCTTCTGGATAAGCATCCCCAATCGGCATTCTTTTTTATTTAAATTAACTAACTTTTTGTGTTATATACAGGGTGGTCCGTTTTTCATGGCTCACCATTGGCATCTGGTGAATCGTAAGATACACAGGGTGGTTCAAATTAGAAAAAAAAATGCGCTTAGACAACTATATTTTATTAATTTTTTAAATAAATTATTGAATTTGTTTAATTTTATGGGTTATTCTTCAAATAAAATAGTAGTGCTACAAATTGGCGTTTTCATAATTTTATCCTCTATCTGTTACTATCAAAATCCAATGTGGTGCCCTTAAGAGAAACAATTGAATGTTGCATAAATGAAACTAGTGGCCGTAGAAATTTTCTTTCGACAAAAATGGATTCATCTTATTTTCTCATCCCCCACTACCAAATTTCAGTTCTTTCTCTTGTGAAATATGAAAGCTAGATGGCATTTTCTAAAATCGCTATTTTCAGATTTTTCACAATATCTCAGGAACGGCAGCGGATATCTTTGATCTGTTTGGTTTATTGGTTTATGAAACTGAAATGGCGCAACTTTTTTCTAAATTGAGCCACCTATATATCTTACGGTTTCCAGCATGCCAATGGTGAGCCATGAAAGCGGACCACCCTGTATGTCAAACTTTTTATTTGATATTGATGCTTTCTAAATATATGAATTAAACCTTTCTATCAATTTATTTTTTAATTGCAAGCATTATTTTAAATTTATTAAATGCATTTGTATGTAGTTTTTTCATTCATTTTATCTCTCATTGTTTTAATGATGAAAATTTGATTTTTAGCTTGTGTCTCGTCTTCTCAATTTTTTTTATTACAATTTTTCTGTTTTTGTATGTTCCAATACAATATATTTGATACAGTTAAATGATTTTTCTTTGTGAAGCGATTTACTTACACACAAATATCAAACTCTACCTAAATAAGGGTTTGTTCATGTTACAACGAAATTCGCAATTTTTATGGGGAAAAAATGGCGGACACAAATTCGGGAAAAATTTCAAACAATTTCAAATTATTTCACGAATTTCGTTCATTTTCGGCAGAACTCAGGACGTACATATAATTAGTGAGGTTATATGTCACACAATAAACATGAAAATAAAGAATTATTAAAAAAACTATCGAGTTGCATAGTTAACAATAAATAAAACTTAAAAAGTACTTAAAACGAAACGTAAAAATGTAACTTGTACATATTTTTGAGGTAATTTATCACTCAGAATATTACCTATCTACAGAACAAGAAAAACAAATTGGTAAAAATTTCCTAGAAATTTTCTGTAACGCTTCGTTTTAATAATAAACAACATAATTACCTACAAACGCTATTTTTCCGATTTAGCAATAATTTGTTCGTATTCGTTCTATCATGAACCAGTCTTTAAATTGTTACTACGTACAGAGTGTCTCATAGAAAGGCTGGCGGAATCAGAAAATGTTATCAGCAAAACAATTGAATATAAAAAGAATATATGGTCGAAACATTTTTTAAGAAGAATAGATCCAGTAAGTATTTTTTACACAAAATGATCAAGAAGACATGAGAAACATTTTAGCGATATTCCAATTTCCAATGAGACCGGCAATTAATTTTACCAGTATTTATTTATTAGTATCCTCGTACATTTTAGTTGTAATGGATAAAATTTTAATTACAAATCCAGTGATATATTAATTTCGTTTCATACATCCGTGCTTCAAAAATTTCGGAATTTCAAATAGTAAGCTTTGGAAAACTGGAACAATTGCTGTTTAAACAAAAAGTGACTGACAACACATCTCACAGGCATTTAATATACAATTTTTAAAGTAACTATTTGATGTAAGTAGTCCATTTTACAGATCATAATAATTGTTCTTCAGAAAAAACTTTTTATATTTGTGGAACCACCTCTATTTTAAATAAGAATATTTTGTTGATTATTTGACTTATATAACATCAAAATCATGTATTGCTGGATTTATTATTAAAATATTCATGTAAGCAAAATATACGAGGTTAGTTAGTTGTAGTTAAATTAATTTCCCGTAAAAATGAAAGTTCAATAAATAATTACTATAGCTGAAATGTTCCTAGTGTGTCTTATATTGTTTTGTGCAAAAAATACAGGGTGCTTTTTTTCTTAAAAAATGTTTTTTTTGCTCATATATTTTTAATGTGATTGTTATTGCTTTTCTGGTAGCATATTCTGATTCTGCAGGACATTTTACGTATGTCTACATTTTGCCTTTTCTTGACAGCAAATAAGTAAATTGCAAAAAAAAAGAATAACCCCATTAAAAAAATATTGGGACAGACTAGTTCTAATGCACTGCAACGTCTGAAAGCTTCTAAAGCTTATCACGAACACTAACGAAATATATGGCACTAGAATAAAATTGTTTACGATGTTCCGGAATCCTATATAACTTAGCAACAATGCAACCACTTGTCATGCAATATGGTAATTTTTGCTATATATAAACGTTCTTAACATTAAAGGCTCTCTTATTAAGATTGATTCGAGCTACTAGACGTTAAATTTGCTGGATATATCTGAACTGCACCGAGCAAAACGCGTACAAACTACCCCAACGCATGTAAAAAGCTTAATCCTTTCAACAGTTGACTTTAGGTGTGCTACAGCGCCAAATAATTTACTACTACGGAAGCAAATTCTACGAAACTCAGTTGCAATTGCGACTGAACGATGTATGTTGGTAATAGTTGTATTTATTTACAAATGGAAATGGCGTGTTGATTTTAAAATACTGTGTGGAACTAATGGGTTTGGATAGCGAGTTTGACAACGTAATACCTGATTTCTTTTTCAAGACGTTAATGAACAATTGAAGAAAATGTAAACTTAAAAATAGAATATGCTATTAGATATATTACCAGTCTATTTTAAAGTTTGTTTATATAGTATGGTGTAAATGAAAGGAATAAATACATTATTTCGTAAATCGGTGTCTTTGGACAATAATCCTGAAACAGGACAACTTTTATCTTTAAGAGTGCGTTAACGATTCACGAAATAATGAATTTATAACTTCCATTTGCCCCGTAGTGTATAAATATATTTTTTATTTGCGCAGAAACTTCCATTTTTTCATGGTCATCAATTGTTGCGCTAATCAATACAATAACGTTTTTTTTATATATTATCTAAGATTCTAAGCTTTTTTTCTTTGCCATACAAAATAGAAAAAGTCAGAAGTAAATACAATTAAACCTATTGAAATTGAATTTGGTTGCATGAGGAAAGTAATGTTGATAAACAAGCAGTTTTTCAATTTTATTTCAATTTTGTAAGTGATGAACTTATTCAGTTGGATGTTTTAGCTGCTCTTTTACTGTTTGAGTACATTTCGTGATATCTTGCAAATTGTATAGTGTCAACTTACTACTTAGGTCTCGAGACTCAGGAGTTCCAGAGAATATGGATCAGGACAGCGCAAGACATGAGAGTGACAGTAGTTAAGGAAATGATATAAATAAAAAATGGTAATACATTTTTAATAAAATAAAATTGGTAATAATAATTAAAGCAATATAATTTTGAATTCAATTTAAAAACAAATATAGGTATGGTATATAATATAAGAGATAGTAAGACCCTCACAAACTGGTGACCTCAACTACAAACACAACAAATTAACAAAAGGATTCTATATATTTAAAAAGAAAAAGAAGTTCAAGGAACAAAAAGTGGAAGCGAAACTGAATCCTCGGAAACGGTACTAAAATATTCCCATGTCAAGAAAGATGAATCGAAATCTTGATTCTTGTGGTAAGGTTGCTACACATAATATAAACCTACTCTCAATATCAAAACTAAATTAAATACTTAACTACTTTTAAATACTTCAAAACGAATGACACAAATGAAATGATTAATGAAACTTTACAATCAAATTATCACCGTTTTGGATAACAAAACACGAAATTTGGTTTAGTCAAATAAAAGCACAATTTGCATTAGCTAAAATTTCGTCAGAAAAAGTTAAATATAATCATGTAATTACAAATTTACCTTTAGAAGTAATTTCAACCGTTTTTGATATCATTTCAAACCCCCCACAATAAAATTTATATACCAAAATTGAAGAAACTATAATTAACTGGTTATCAGTCAGTGAAGAAAAAAGACTAGATGATTTATTATCAGGATCAGAAATGGGAGACTCCAAACCATCAGTCTTCTTTAGAGAAATGTTAAATATCGTTGAATGTCAAAAGAACAATCTAACTCAATCTTCACAAATCAATTTCAAAATTTAATTGACGACATGAACCAAAAACAACAATTTTTAGAAAATCAAATAAACACAATGCAAAATCAAATTTCATTTCAACAGTTCGTTTAGAAGTAAGTCACCAAAAAGATATTATACACAACAAGACAAACAAAACAATTCTCTTTGTTATTATCACAATAAATTTAAAAAAGAGCAACTAGT